ATCAATAACAATTCGTAGAATAAATTAGTAACCTATTTTCAATTTAAATTGGAAAATATATGCAAAATAGGTAGGAATGATTATTATAAAATATAAAATAATAATCATAAAACAGTAATAATTTTGAAAAATATTTTAACTAGCACCTGAATTTTTTCACTTAGGGGAATTCGCCCCATGCCCCCCCCCCCCACACTGCATACGTTTCTTAAACTAATATTAAAAATATAGTCTTTTCATCCCCAAAATTTATAAAATTTTATATTAAGAACATTCATGCCACAAATTTCAAGGAAATATTTATAATCTTGGTAGAGAGATGTCACCCTATTAATTAAACTACACCCATTAATCTTATTTCACTATCAGGTGTTTTCTGACTATACTCTTTGTTGATATCATTATTTATTAATATGATAAACCATTATCACATGGAAAGATTATTTTCTGTCAGACGGTAATGACAAATACGAGTGTCGAATAATTGTTTATCAAGACAAAACTTATATTTGACAAATGATAGTGCCATGCCATTGTTTAAAAGCAAAACTTATACTTAGTGATTGCCGCTCTAAATTTGGGGATAATAATACCGATTTTATACAGTTACATTTATGTTTGAATTCGGAATACTAATTTTTACTTCAGGTCCAAGTTTTATTTTCCTTTTAGTTTTAATCTATTTTTGACGGAATTTTTCAAAACGACTAGATGGTTTCATCAAAAATAGATGATTAAAGTTAATAAAAAGTAAAATATAAAGATATATGTATAGAGTTTAGACTCATTCAAGCCTCTATCGGAATTTAGTAAAATTACTTAACGCCTAGTGTCTTAAAATACTTTTCGACTTAAAATAATGATGAATCATAACATAATACTTTGATATCATATAACTTTAAAAAACTTAAATATATTGAAATATGATTTTTGTCAACATATAAGCTCAAATGAGTTAGGTTGACAATACAGCATATAGGCACAATCCTTCACTTAAAGGTGTGGTAAATAACCCCACGACGTTTATAATCATGGTAATAAAAAAAACTGAAGATATTTTGGCCTGGTTTTTATAGTATTTTAATATTTTGTTATAAGGAATATATCTACCAAATTTCAAGATTATTATTTAGATTTTTTTAAAATATTTGCAATTTGTTGAGCTTGGGGTAGTATATAGGTCCCACTTTTTTTTGGTATTTTATTTTTTTTAAATAAAATTTATGCAATTATCATTATTCAACATTGAATTAATAAAATATATAATAAAATTTGCATTTTAAAATTTTTTTGGTGATATTACTATAAAAAAATATTTAGCAACTTTAGGAAAATTAGTATAACTTTTTTCTGGAAATAAATATTAATCTAAAATTTTGTGTTTATTATCTCCAATATTCTTTAATATATATTCAAAATCTTAGGTCTTATACCTTAATATGTTTTGAGATATGGCTAAATTTGGGGTAAAATAGACCTTACCTTTTTAGTTAAGGTTATTTTTTCACCTTTGTAGAGAAGGATTAATATAATTATCAGAGACCTGCAGAGGTACCATTTGTACGGCCCGGAATTTTTTTAAAAAATTTTATAGGCACGGCCCGGATTTTTTTTTCAAAAATTTTCTCTGGCCCGGCCCGGGTTTTTTTTTAAAAAATTTTCAGGCCCGGCTCGGATTTTTTAAAATAATATTTTTGATTTTTACAGCTAATAATGGCTATTTCAAATATTTGGTTTTAAAATATAGGGGAGACCGGGGTAAAACGATAGGCATTTTGCATATTTACCATAAAAATTTTAAACAAGAGTCAAACACAACAAATTATAGATCAATGTGTAGCCCCATCTCTCTTCTACAAGATAAAAAAAAGTGTAAATGGATAAGCACTAGGGTAAAGTGGTTAAAATAATATTTGACACATATTTATTGTTTTATTTAACAAATATTACAAATTTAAGATTTATTTATGATTTTTATTTCAAAAAACTAATCGATACAATAAGGACATGTAAAATAATTATCATAATTAGCACATTTAGAATGTGCCCATTCAAGGCACATTGTACATTTTAGCCATTCATCGCCCTCGCGACTATTTTTATAGTTTTTATTACAAATAACACATAAACAATTATTTTTTGATATCTTTTTTTTCTCTGAATTAATAATTTTTTTTTATAAGGTTTAGATGTTAATATTTCTGAATTCTTTTTTTTAGATATTTTATCCGATGAAATATTGAATAATTTTGGAATAGGTATTATAGATGAAGGATTGAATACTTTATTATAATTTTTTGAGCATGATGGTAACATATCATGATAAGGTTCATCAATATCATCTGGAACATTTTCGTTCAATAATATAGATAAATCACTATCATTATTTTGAGTCACTGTAAGATTTTGAGTCACTCTAATATTTTCATCATTATTTTCAAATTCAATATTTGAGTTAGCATTTGAATTATTACAGCAGATATAATCTTGTTCTGTAAATATATTTGGGTTTAAAGGAAATATGCCACATGCTAAGAATCCATTTAATATATTATTTGATGTCACTGCCCTTGGTATTTCATTTTTTAAACACTCCTGGAATATCATAAATCTGAAATTGTTGCCCCACATGATTTTTAGATTGAGCATTATTAAAATTATGAAATACAATATAATTTCAATTGAGCATTTTTATTAAAGTTACCAAATTAATAATATTTAGATTGAGCATTATTAAAATTATGAAATACAATATAATTTCAATTGAGTATTTTTATTAAAGTTACCAAATTAATATTGATATTTAGATTGAGCATTATTAAAATTATGAAATACAATATAATTTCAATTGAGCATTTTTATTAAAGTTACCAAATTAATATTGATATTTAAATTGAGTTATTAAAATTATGAAATACAATATAATACAAACAATATAATTTAATTACTTGTTTAGGCGTTAATCCCATAAATGACCTACTTGCTTCTAATATGTAGTCACACAATCTAGATTCTTCTTCATTTGTAAATATTTGTTTATGATGATCTGAACTTTTAATACCAATTTTACATCTCCTTCTCAACGTTGTATAAGGTATGTTAAATTTTTTAGCAGACAAATTTAATGAAGTATTATTTGTTATTTTATATTTTATGGCTTCATTTATTATATTTACATCTCTGTATATGGGTTTTTCTTTTATAATTTCTCATTATTTGATTGATACAATAAAAATTATAATAAATGAATTAATGAAAAATTAATGTGAATAATTTTATATTTTAACCATTTTACCCATAACAGCTTTACCCCTAGGTGACATATATTATAAATATCGTTATTGCGTGACTTCTAATATAGCTAAAGATGTCAGATAAATTTTATTTTATAGCTAATACATTAAGGAACATGTGTGCCAAATTTTAAATCCTGAGGATATGTAAATTTTACTAAAAGCAAAATATACTAGAGAATGATTTTTATATTTTTTGGGTAAAAAATAGTTTTTTGACAAAATATATAAAACCAGGTAAGTTTTTTAAAAGATGAACATAGGTAAGAAATTAGATATAAAAATACATCTTCACACCAAATTTAAGGTCTTTATACTCAATGGTTAAAAAGTTATTCGCGTTAACATTGTTACCCCGTCAATCGCTTTACCCCGGTCTCCCCTACGGCCCGGCCTGGATATTTTTTAAAAAAAAATTTCAGGCCCCGGCCCGGTTAAATTAAAAAATTAAAATACGGCCGGGCTTAGGGCTGGGCCTGCAGGTCTCTGATAATTATATTAGAAATCTCTAGGTTTTTCCAAATTAAGAATAAAATAATATGGTTTTTTAACTATAAAATAAAAAATAAGCAAAAAAGATGGAGATTAAATTTAGAGTTTTTTAAATATAAATTTCAGCGCTATCTCTTAAATTCATTTCATAACGAATACTTTTCTAATAATTTACTGTGAGATGTCTGACTGCCCGCCCTCCTATTAAACCGATGGGGGCTCTTGAAATATTTACGAGCGGGATGAGCAGAGTTTAAAATCACTTTATTATAGATTTATATCGTTTATAATTATGCTTTTTATCATAAATAAACAGCACTTTTAAAAAATATATATGTAATTTATTCGCAGCTTTCTTAACTGAGAACTCACTATTTATTAATGTGTATATTTGATACTTAAAGAGTTTGTTGATTAAAGATCAAATAAGCTTATATAATTTTTATAAAATCCATTCATTTGTATATTCACTTTTAGATAAACCTTTATTTTGGCTTCTCTTTTTTTAAATACCAAATTTTAATTTAGATTTAAAAAAAAACTAAATTATAAAATATTTATAGAACCATTTATGTGTATAAATACTATATTATATATATATATGAAAGCGGTTTGAAACTTCTTTCTGTTAAACTCAAAATATTTTAACTTTAAACTTGTAGGTTAAACGTACCAACAAAATAAAAAACCAAATATAATTTCTTTTCTTCGGTTAATTTTATAGGATACATTATTATATTTTACTATATTTTAAAGTATTAGTTTGTATTATAAATATTATATGCATAATAATATACACTATACTATATATCAATAGACTTTATAAAGAATATCTAATGTTTTAAAAATATTTAATAAAAAAAAATTGTGAAATGGTTCTCTTCTCACTATTAAATAATTAATGAATTTGAGGATAGTAATTTTTTTATTTTAGAATTTTTAAAAAATTATAGTCAAAACAAAATAAAAAATTATTAAATTTAATATTTTATTTTTAACTTATTAAATATGCACATAAATGATTATAAGTGAATTCAAAGATAACATTTAAAAAAATTTCTATATTTTCTTCTAAAATAAGTAATGGTGTTATATTGAAAATTTCAATAAACTTTTTATGAAAAAAGGTATAATTTTAGTTTCGAAGAACCCCTTACTTTTAATATATGATTGATTTTAAAAAATAATCTTATATTTATTTATCTTTACAAATTAGAAAAATCCTTCGATAATCTCGATAATATATAATCAAGCCAACCAGCAAAAAATATCAAAATTGAGACACTAATTATTAATTCGAAAAGAGATGGTAACTATGGAACGCATATACGATTCAGAAATAGTTAACGATTTTTTATGCGATCAAAAGGGAAAACTTTACGAGAAGCCTCCTAAACATCTCGACAACCAAATTTTTCCTCCCATCCAAGACAAAAGTGACGATAAAATTAAAAAAGGCCAAAAAAAGTACCTCAAAAATTCTTCGACTAATTTTGATAATGTTACTGATAGTAGCAATGACCATAAGCCAGGCCATGTTTCGTTAGATCTAGAAAGTTTTACACCCTTTCAAACAAATTGCTCATTATACATAAACCAAAAAGATGAATCGATGGTCGAAAAGTCCAAAATTGACCATGTTTACGAAAATTCCGATTTCAAATCACAACAGCATGGTCTTATAAGCATCAATGACGATGTGGATAAATATCCTTTCATCTTGGCAGAATATGATAAATATCGGGATAACTCTATTCAAGATAAATTAGATATACGTAAAAAATATTGCGCTACCTCAAATCTGTACCACGATTCAATTCAAATGAGCAGCTCGACGAAAGATAGTATATTTATGCAGTGTTTTGAGTGCCATTTCAAAACTATTGATGCACGTGAACTCAAATTTCATTACCTTACTTCCCATAAAACAGGTTATCAAACTAAAGTTCCAAAACATTTATTAAATAATAATAATGAGATTCGGAATAAATCTAAGACAAATATTTATGATAGAAAAGGTTCTGCTCCAGCTCGGTTATTTAATATCGTTTCGGAGACATTTAAATCTTCTCACTCCCTTTCACCTTCTATGCAACCCAAGCAGTCTCTTTATACGACTGCTTCATTTTTATCGAACGAAAAAACTGATAGTCTTCTTAGGACTAATAATAAATGCTTTTATAATAATATAGAAAACACAAAAAGAATGCTTTCTTTATCTAAGCAGGAGAGCTTAATTGCAAATTTACCTCAAATCAACTCCTTATCATCTTTTACCAACGACGACAAACTGAAATGTTTTGAATGTTCCTTTACTACCCCTGCCAAACACGTCATGATCAAACATTACAACGCAGTACATTCATCCTTATGGAACACTTTCAATTGCTTTCTATGCGAAAAATCTTCAAAAACTAGACCCGGTATTACGCGGCATATATACGAGGCACATTTATCTATTCTTCCACACATCTTTGATCACGATAAAAACCGATTATTGAAACCTAGTCTAGTCAATACCAAAAAGATTTCTAGAGATATTATGGGGAATCCTCCTAAAAAAGATGAATATAACGAAAATGTCCACAGTACCATGAATTGCCAAACTACGGATATAGATCAGAATAGTTTCGGAAAATATAGCCAATCATATATCGAGTTAGTGGTGGATGTTTTACGTTCCATAGCCCAAAACTTGGGAAACCTAATGAATCAAAAAAATAGAGATAATAGCTATAACCAGAAATTAGCCATTTTAGTTGAAAAATTAAATTTTAATCAACGTTTAATACTTCATACCTTAGTCGAAAGAGTATTAGAATATTTTAGTCAACCTGAAAATATATCAACTGCTATATCAATGCATACTTATGTCACTAAATATATTAAAAATAACAGGGACGAAGATGCAATTACTAATGCAAAAAACATTGAATCATTTAACGACATCTCTAAAGATAATTTGATGGACCAGCAATATGCACAAATGATTTCTAACATTAAGTCAATGGAGAATTCTGACTTAGGAAATTTGATTAATTCATTTTTATCACAAGATTTCAGACAATTCTCAGCTATTAAAGTACTTAAATGCAAATATTTAATACGGCGGATAAATGATTTTAAATCAGATAACTATTTTAATTACAGGACTTATTTAATTAATGAAATCAGACATTCTTCCCTTACTCACAAAACTTTGAATCAAAAGAAAAACATTTACCGTCTTCGGATCTACCATAGGAAAAAGTTATTAAATTTTTTTCAATATTATCACCATATATTGATGGTCGAAAATTTCAATAACTTACTCAACAATTATATTTCTATAATGTTTTTACTTTGGAATCAATAAAAAAAATATTCTTTATTTTTTGAGGTACTATGGTAACTTTAAGTTTGCCACCTTTATCAAAATATCAAAATAATTTCACATTTTTATAATTTATATTTATATTTTTGTTAAAATTATATCCATACGTAGACGTAGGGGGGGGGGCTGAGGTTAGTCGAATTTTACAGAATTGGGAACCTGAATGTCCATTATGTGGGATAAATTGCCATACTCCATATAAACATAATTTCCTATCAAAATTTTAAAAAATCCTTTTTTGTCTTGCCATCAATTTTTTTAAAAATTATTTAATTCAAAAAGGACCCATACAAAATCAAACATGCCAAAACTATTGATAAACTTATATTGACATAATTACTTATATTTTAATTAAATTTAATTTAAATTGAATATAGAAATGTTGGATTTTATTTTCCTTTCTTGATTTTATGTTTTGTCCCATTATTTTACTTTCTAAAATTGATACAAACAAGATAAGCAACGTTTGTTATTATATTATTAGTATATTATATCATTTATAATAAAATTTTACTACTTAAATGGATGCAAAAAAACTGAAAATTTGAGAAATGCGAAGAAAATGGGAAATTATTTCATGAAAAACATTCTTCTTATTAATTTTTCATGAATTTTTTTATATAATTTATTAATTTAAAAAATTTATTTAAATATTTTTGTTGATACCTTGTACCATCAACTTTTAAAAAGGTTCGGGTTTGGGTTCTGATTCAACAAAAACATGAACGTTTTGAGAGTTCAAGGTCCGGGTTCACATCCCTGATTACTACTTATTTGTCCACTATGTTTAAAGAGATAAAAATGTTGGTAATAGTCATCTCTATATACTATGCAGACTTACAAGCAGGGATGCGAATCCGCTAAGATTTTTGCCCGGGTTCGGTTTAAGGTAAAAAAAAATGATTCGGTTTTGATTCAGGGAAATATTTTTGAACCCGGCTTTGATTCCGGGTTCAGCTTGGGTCTAAGAATTTTTGAATTGATTAAAAAAAATTCTATAATTAAATCATAATTAAAAAACTAGACATAAATTTGGTATAAAAAATTAACTTTATATTTTATAGGCAAAATATAGTTAAAAATACAAAGCAGTCTCATGTATCAATTTTAAAAATTTTATTTAGACGTAATTCTTTAAATTAACAATATCCAATATAATAATTTTTACTTTGACTTGTACACTTTTATTTTCCTCTAATTAATATAATTAAAAATTAAAAATAAATGGCGTAAATGAATTTACTTAATTGAAATTTGAAAATATTATAAAATCTCTCAATTAAATTATTAATATTTATATTTACAATTATACAAATATCTTAATATATGATTTTAAACAATACACTGAACCCGGTTGAACTAGGGAAAATCAAAACGTAAAAGAGATTTACCCTTAAAATTTTTTTTTAAGTATATGTTTAAGAAATAATCCAAAATGAACAAAATTGCAAAATAATATAAAATATTTATTGATATCACTGATTAAATTTAAAATTTTAACAATATTTCCAAACCCTACATACCTGATTTTTTTACCCGAGCCAATTATTCACTCCTAAGAAGATTTATTTCTAAATCTACCTATGTTTACATAGGATTTTATTATGGATTGGCTAGTTGGCTTTTTCTATTATTCAATCATCTATATTATCATAAGTGTAAACGGAGCCTGGTTTGGTGATTGATGTCTTGGATCTTTTTTTTATTCTTAGACAAGAAAATTGGTTTAAACGGGTCATTCTGTTGGATGCCTATTAATATTCATTAAATCAAGTCATATTATAACTCCAAATGATTTTTGTGTATGCTGTTTTATTAAACATACAGATGATTTTAAACCTAGATATGTATGGAATATGGATCAGCATGGCTCGTCAAGAATTTTAGAAAGTATTTCCACCCGGCAGGTAAAAGAAATTAGGTACAAATTGCCTTTCCTAATAATTTATTTGCGAAGGGGAAATTATAAATTCGCGAAAAATATTTTGCACAAGTTACCCGGCTTGACACGGCTCATACAAATCTGATATACTGGAATAAAAAAATTTTTTTTCAAAATACTAAAATTAACCTTATTTTATTTCTCTATTCCGTTATTACACCACTATATAGTTTCAAATTTATCTGGGTTACTTACTACCAAAAATTATTTATAAATCAGGGAATAAACAGTATTAATGTTAAGTCATTATTAATCATTAATAAAAAAAATTTAATTTATCATTTATTTACATTTTCAAACTATTGAACCATTTATTTTACTCCTAATAACTTTATAAACGTGATTGATAAAAATGAAAGGAAGATACACTTTAGGCAAAAATATTACTATCTAAATAGTAAGTCATAAATAAAATATAATTTGTGTGATAATTTTCAATAGTAAGTATATATTTTTATTAGGTCAGTTTTATGTGTATCTGCATCAAAACTCTCAATACCTGACAATGAAGAATCTTCCACTATTGACCAAGATGTTTCCTCAATTCATTTTTATGTCAAATCTTTTTCTAAGTACAACTTCTTAAACAAACAAAAATTTGTAACTCCTTTTAGAAGAAGTGATCGAATCAAGGCTAGGATGTACAGTCAATCTATAAAAACCGAAAACTTAAATATAAACCGCTCAATAATTGATCCACTTACTTCTAAGGTAAAATTCAACTATGATAATAAAAATAATATGTTCCGCGATAATGTGATGGATGCTATTTACGCTCATTATTTAAAATATAAATATAAATTTTTCCAAAATGAGATATTTGATAGTGATTTAAACAATTTCACCCAAAACAGTGTAGATCAGGAACCCAAACATTTTTTAATTGAAAACGAAACCAGTGACAATCTTTTACTTATAAACGAGGACAAGCTCAGTGACATAGGCGATACCACTAAAATATCAGAGGATAAAATCCCACAGATTCATAAATTCAATAATCATAAAAGTGTACCAACCACTGACCCTAATCATATCTCTAATTTCAAAGCGCACTATCCCAAACTTTATGTCTGCCCATTCAGGTTTGAAATGTCTTGCTCATTCCAGACCCGCAATAAAAAACGATGGGCTGATCATTTGGATCACCACAAAGGTCTGAAAAGTCATAAATGTTCTATATGTCACTATAAGACCACATGGTACGAAAATTTAAACCAGCATATCAAACGAATGCATGCTGGTCAAGTTGTTGATAAGTTAATAGTCATTGAAAAATTACAAACGAGCCAGACATCTCAAATCCTTCCTAAAATTCCTCAAATCGTTAGGGCTCGTATCATGGACAAGTATGGTTTGGCAACTAAAAAAGACACCTTTAATTGTAAGTTTAATATTCAATAGAAATAAGATAAAATGTTTTATAATTGTAGAAATTTTATATTTACATGGACATTTTATATGGAGTGAGACGTTAGTTTTTAATTTATAAAATATGTCACCACCCAGGATTTTATGGAGTTTTATAATTATCCTATAAAGATTTATAAGCGTATCAATGGGCCTTCTATGCAAGAGGTAATTACTAATTAGGAGGATTTTAATATGATTGTCATTAATTATTTAATCTTTCACACAATATTTAATACGCTCTCACGGTTATATGCATTTGGAACTTATAAAATGCATATATTGAACATTTCAAATGTGGCGTTGCAAACGCAAATAATGCATTTCAATGATATCGTGCAAATTGGTCAAATTATGTTTGACGCTGGAAGCCAACTTTTAAAACGCAAACTGGTTTGCTTTTTTGGATCATTTTTTTTTGTTTCAAACAAATATAAAAAATCTTAATTCAATTTAAACGACGTTTTCTTTATTAAAAAAATACGGGAAAACGCAAACGCTCAATTTGTGCGCGTTATTGTAAATAATTTTTCAAAAAAATAATGTAAACATGATTGACATGTTTTCTGAAATTTTATTTTTAACATTTAGTTATTACCATTACCATATCTAAAATTTATTGCAAACAACATCTAGTTTTTTAAATATTTCTTTTTAATATATATTTTTTAATTTTTTTAACAATAATCCATTTAATACTTCTTTTTTTTAAACTAACAAATATGGAATAGTTCAACAAAACCTTGATAGTATTCAAAACTCAAAGAATGTCAAAGAAATAAAATTAAACAAACGCAAATCTTTCCCCGCCAAATTCATAGGAAAATCTGGGAAGGCTTTTAAATACTTAAAAAATTCATTCCAAGATAATGACAATGAATATGATAAATTTTACAATAATGATCGCATCGACAAAATACCGCCGTATAGCATGATAGATCATACAGTAGAGGAGTTCGAGGATAGAAAAGATACTTCATCCTCTACATCTAAATTGGGTTACATGTCATATCTCAATTATTCTAACAAATTGAAAAAACGGCATTTCACTTACCCACTTTCCAAGGAACACAAGTTTAAACAAACAGTCGTAAATTCAAATGCTAGTCTAGATACGATCAAAACTTTGACACAATCTTTAAATGAATCATCAAATGTTCTCAATATGAACAAAAATCCAAAAAATGTTAAACCAAACTTCAAAGATAAGAACGAAATTAATAGAAAAGGAATAATTAGGAACTTTCAACCTCCACAAATTTCTGTTTCTTCATCTCTATCTCAAGTACCCCCTCATCCGTATGACTTGGTTGAAAATTTTGTTAAAACAGGGTTTTATCCTAGGCTACCTTTTTTAAATTTATCTACGATTAATGAAAATTTGGAAGTGATTAATGGCAAGGAGGGAGAGGAATGCAAAAATTATGAAGATAGATATAAGGTTTACCTGGAATATTATAAACAGTGTTTTGGTCCAGGAATTATAAATTCGATTCCTTATGATATTAACAGTAATGATACCTCCTCGGGCAAACATTTGATTAATAAAGAAGATAATCTAATTAAAAATTCAATCTACAAATCATTTGCTGAAAATCCATCACCAACTATATCTAGACTTGATACTAACCTTAACTTCCGTGAGAGAAAAAATTCTTCAAGCAATTTGAGCATTAAAGGAAATATTTATTCCAGTCCTGCTACTCTAAAGGATTCTATGCTTGATAATGGTATTCTAAATTCCATAGCACCAAATGCGAACCAAGATATTTTGAGTTTTATGAACACTTTACAATCCATGTATCAGCAACAACAATCGCAGCAGCAAAATTCTTCCATATTCAATCCTTCGAACTTCCCTTTCTCTTGGCCAAATTATAATTATTTTTTAAACCCACAGCTCATACAACTGTATAACAACTACGAACTTAGTCAGGAATGGTATCAAAAACAGCAAAGAAATGTTGGTAATTTTGCGTCACCTTTCAGCAATATTATGTGTTTCATATGCAGTACACCGTTAGCCTCCTATTTCGAAATGGTTAAACATTTGGAAGCGTATCATCCGGATTTTAACTTTCAAAACATGGAATATGCCAACCGATCGAACGAATGTAATTTCGAAAAAGAGAGATTTTCAGAAGGGGGGCTTTATCCGAATTCTCTGTTCCCAACTAATGATATGCAATTCCCCAATTTTGCTACCGAACTGCTTAAACAAGTCACTAAATCTCACAATAACGATTTAGTCCATAATTTTTATGATGCTTTCCCAACGGTTCGCCTAGAATCGAATGTGAAAAAAACTCATAAGCAACAAACTCACAAAAACAAAAACGCGCCAAAAGCTAAGAAAGTTAATTATATCAAGAATCATTCTAAAACATTGCAAGATCGCAAAACCTCGCTAACCTCTGAATTCTCATCAGAATCTTCCGCAGTCAATCACCCTGGCATAAAAGGTTTGATTATTAAGAATTATTTTTTATATTAGTTGTGTATATATATTTCAAAAAATAAATTAAAATTCGCGATTTTTATATCTTAACTTTTAGGTTTATTTAAATAAAATATAATTTATAGCAAACTTTTGAAGATAATCAAAATTTATGTATATTAACATATAGGTGAATGCGCTTACAACGACGAAACATTTGAGTTTAGCGGGGATTATAGTAATTCCGACAGCTTCTTTATGTATAAAAATAAAATAGAAAATAACATTGTGATAGACTCATCTAATGAGCACAATAATTCTTTTCATGTAAATATTACTAGGATTGAAGATGGTGATCTCATTAATTTATCAATAAGTCCTGACAAAAGAAAAATAACTGAAGAAAGTTTGAGAGATAGATTTTTTTCATCTGTTAATAGCAATTCTCATTTGCCTTGGAATATCGGCCCAGAAGTGAGTCTATACCAATCATCAGGACCTAAGAGTTTTACAAATAATTACACTCCCGATTCATCTACCACCCTCTACGAAAATACCGCTGAGATCAATATCGATAGTAAAGATATTCATGCGGATGTTATAGAACCCAAGTTTACTCCCAATAAAGATGATTCAAATCCGAGTCTAACCAATTTCATTGATCATGATACATCGATAGAAACGTCAAACATTCCTCTAAATCTTCTTAACAACACTCACGCGGTTAGCGGAGGAACTAAACGACAAAGGACACATAGATGTACTCTCCCAGGTTGCAATTTTGAGGCCTATGATAAAAATCGTATGTTAGATCATTTGGCAGCCCATCGAGGCGAAAAGCCTCATGGTTGCCCTTATTGCGAATTTCGAACCTCATGGCGTTTTAACATAAAAAATCACATAAGGAGCAAGCATCCTACCATGTTATAATATTTTTTTTTCTTTTGATCTGAATGAATCATAAAAAAATTAACCCCTTGTTAACCCTAGTAGTATATCTTTTTTCAAAAGGATTGCAAAAAATCGTGAAATTATTTTAGCGCCCAATGCAAAGTAATTTTGTTAGAATTTTTTATTATAATATATATTTTTCTAAACTCCTTTTGAAACATTCCACTTATTAACTTTCTCATGATTAACAAATTTCAAAGGCAATTTCTAGTCGAAATCAAATATCAATAAAAAAAAGTGATTTAAATTGGACACAATAATTAAAAATTAAATGTTAGAAGCTTTATATAATTTAATTATCATTAATGAGTGGTAGATTTTACTAATTTTATTATAGTGATTAAATTAATATAATAATTTTATTGCCATCTTAAATAACTAAACCAAAATTTTAATCTATTATTATATTATGATATGATTGCATATAAAATTTATGATTCCAAATTCTAGTCATAAAATTGAATTAATTTATCATATACTAATCTTTATAAGTATTTATCATAATATCTAGTCAAATATTCCCATATTATTTCCAACGAATTTATAGATAGTTTTTTTTCTTATTTTATTGCGAAATTGCCTTTTTTAACAAATTTTTTATTAGGTTTTAAATTTGTTGAAATTGATTAGAATTTCACTTTGCTCTCATTTGAAAATCTTCATTTTTATAAATTTCAAAAAAGCCAAAAATTATTAAATGATATCAAAATCTTAACAGATAATATTACATATATTTACACTTTTAATTTTAGATGCTAATCAACAATTAAAATTTTATTTTACTTACCATTTGCTGCCAAATTATGTCAAACTTAGAAAGAGATTTACTGTTAAATTTCTGTAATTTTCTGTCGATTTATATATTTTTAATTCTATTTCATTCTACACATTATTTTTCTTTGTGAATTACTAATTATATGAAATGATACCTCTAAACCGATCAATATTCAATTAGCGCCCTCTAACTACCCCGAATTTTATAGTTTATTGCCAAATTTATAAATAAAACTTAATCTTATATATTACACATTAATGCAATAATATTGTCCATTTTTATTTTTGTTTCTATATTTTATTTTTAAATTGTAATATTATTTTGATTGCAATGAATTCTGAATTTTTTAAAAAATAGTTCCTTTTTATTTGAAGCTATATGTATATTGATAGCATAATATATTTAAAAAAATCAGATAATATAATATATCGAATTATATATTTTAAAGAGTAAAACATTAATAAAAAAAAATCATCGAAGTTTTTTGTAATAGTTTATACGCCATATTAACGGCCTTCAAAATCTCGGAGGCTTATCCTCATGCTCATAACCAGGGATGCGAACCTGGCAAAAATTTTTCCCCAAGCTCGGTTCGGGTTCGGTTTAAGGTTAAAAAATAGGTGGGTTCGGGTTCGGTTCAGGGAAGTATTTTTGAACCCGGGTTTGGTTCCGGGTTTAGCTCGGGTTTAAGAATTTTTGAATTGATAAAAAAAATATTCTATATTTAAATCATAATTAAAAAACTCATAAATCTGGTATAAAAAATAAGTTTTTTATTTTATTTATAGGCAAAATTTAGTTAAAAATACAAAACATAGTCATGTATAGATTTAAAAAATTCTATTTAGACGTATTTCTTTAAATTAACAATATCCAATATAATAATTTTTACTTTGACTTGTTCACTTTCATTTTCCTCTAATTAATAATCTTTGAAAATAAGTTAAAAATTAAAAATTAATGGCGTAAATGTATTTAATTGTTTAAAATTTATTAACAATCCAATAGGAATCTTTGTGAATAAATTTAAAAAAATTTAAAAATAGAGTAAATGAAATAAGTTGTTTAAAATTTAATAACACTTCACTTAATTGGAATTTTGAAAATATTATAAAATGTCAAGTAAATTATTAATATTTGTATTTGCAATTATACAAATATCTTATATTAATTGAAACAATTCACTTAGCTCGATTGAACCCGGGTTTAAATCAAATTCTCCGGTTCGGTTCGGGGTTTTGAAAATTTTATAAACGGGGTTCAGGTTCAATTTTTTTCCAAAAAACCCGGGTTTTCTTCTCCGGGTTCGGGTTCGGTTCGAATCCCTGCTCATAACATTATAAGTTAACTTTATTTATTATTGCAAAAAATATTTGAAAAATCCGACATATAAAGGTGTATCAACTAATAATAAGAAGAATATACACTGAACAGTTCATAATTTTTCTATTAATAAATATTGATTATATTAAATTGTTCAATTTAGTAGAGTATATAATAAAAAATGATTGTCATTTTTAGTGTTGTAAAATAAAGATTTGTCAAAATGATATTATGCAAGACCTAGTATATTTAGTTAATAAATGTCCAAACCATTCTGCCATCTATTAGCGAGATCTCCTGGCTTGCGTAATATTTTTGACTAGAGCAACCAAACAATTTTCTATTAAATTATTTTATTGACGAAAATTATATTTTCATTAAAAAAACATTTTTGTAAATTTCATTTTAATTTCTGATTCTAATTTTTTTTTCAAAGCACTGATAGAACCGGTTTCAAATATAGATTTATCTGAATTTATTTAAAATTAAAAATGTTTGTGACATAATTTAATTAAAATATTAAAATAATAAAAATGGTGAATTCCACACTAGTGTTGTAAATAAATTTTTTATCAGAAATTTTTTAAGATAATCTAAATTATGATTTTATTTTCTTACTCAACTGTTTCCTTTAATTTCATCACGCCTCCATTTCTTAATGTCTTTATTCTAATTTGAAATGAAATAATAAGGCCATTTTGTAAAAACCCTCATAAAATCTGTAAAAATTAACGAAAAATGGTAAACGACTTTGATAAATAAATTATCTAGCTAATATGTATTTCAATTTTTAAAATAATTCAAACTCGTTAAAATATTTGAATTTTTCAAGTAAAAAACCCCAGGGCACATTGGACATAGGTACGGGCACATAGGATACCTACACTGGGAATATAAAACCCCCAAAAATTATAAATAATTAATAAAATTTAAATATTTAATAGTATGTGAACTATATTTTTATTTTATAAAAAAATTAACACAAGAATACATATTCAAACATATATAGTTTGCCATTTCATTACCAATCACTCTGACCTTTTATGGTATAAATTATTTTTAAAGTTACATGATTATATTTATTATATAAGATTCATTGAAATATACTATTTTAATGAAAATAACTTGCCGCAATAATAATTAAAACCTAGGAGATGATATTTGGTCAATTTAAATTTGCTACTTAATCTAATTATTTACTTGAATTTAATAAAATTATACAATTTTTTTTTTTTAATATAACTTATGTATTTAAATTTTATTATCAGTTTATGAAAAATGCTGGTAAAATTTTAATATTATTTTGATTAATGTAAATTTAATAAAAATTTTAATTGAAATGTTATCTATATTTTGATCTGGTATAAATAGTATAATTTTTATTAGTGCTAATGTATATATTTAAATTATATTATAAGTCCTATGAAAAATGCTATTTTGAATTTGATTAATGTAAATTTAATGCTAATTTAAATAATAATATTTTAAATTATTTTACAGTCTTATGAATAATGCTTGTATTATTTTAATTATTATATTGATTGTATATTTTAGCAAATTTTAATTGACCAAATGTTTTATCAATTTTGGTCTAGTATAAATTCTAAAAAAAGGTTTAACATTAAAATCAAAATAACGGTAAAATTTATATACCAAATCTCATACTCGTCTATTTAAATATGTTTCAAATTAAAAATGAAATTTATAAAAATATTATATTTACCTTTTACCATAATATATCTTTAGAGCTTTTAAATTTGTATTTCTCTCACCCACTTCTGTTGTCTTTAAAAAGCTCGATTTGATCCGATTTAAAAACAGCAAACTCCATTTATCCAGAAAAATATTAGGCAAGCCTGAAAATTTTGCTCATAGATGGCATAATGGTTTGGACATCTATTACGAAATCTCGAAGCTTAGTTAATATCTTTTTAGCTAAAATATTGAGTTAAATATTTTTAAAAATCAGCTCGAATTGAGCCATTAACAACACTACCTGCTTCTGAAATTCTCTTGGGGGAGGGATTAATATTGAAGTATAAATATGTTTTATTCAACTTTAATTCGATGCCTTAATCAAACAATAAGTCATGACTCTAAAAAGAATTAATCCTAACATAGAACCATCTATTTTTTATATTATATTTGCTAAAATATCTTATCAGATTCGTTCTAGGGATTTTTAGTAAGTTGGATAATGATCTAACAGATGCTTAAATAATAAATGATGGAATAAATAATAAAATGAAATATATAATTTAATTTTTGAGCTAATACTTGTGTCATAACAATATAGACGTTTGTTCTTATAGGTTTGCGCCATTCGAATCCTAGATATAATGATTTAATGGACATATTGATGGCCTACGTGCCTTTGGCTAGGTTTCCCTATCCTATTACTTTAATGAATAGAGATTGGCTTTCATTTATCTAATATTCATGGTACTTAAGATTAATATTAAAAATTTAGACGAAGAAGTAAAATAAATTTAGTTATTTTTAAGGTATAAAAACATTTATTTTAATATAAAATTATACTGAATAGAAGAAATATTTTTTCGATAGGTTTATCACAATTATCTACTAGTTTATTTTTATGACAGTACTTCATGATTTTGAATAGAAGTCCTACTTGCCCCTGGCACCAACTGCCTAGTCTCCACTATCCGGTATTTTAATTCAAATGGCCACAGATAAGTCTTTTACTAAACAAAAAATAAAAAAAAAACAATCGAAAAATTTTTAACGAAACAAGAAACATTAAATTATTAAAATAAAATCTTTATTCATTGAATACAATATGGCAAACTCAACGCATATGAAGTGCTATTGCTTCTTAGGTGAAAATTTAACAAATAATTTATTAAAAAATAATAATAAATTTTAATTAATACAATTTATATTTTAAATTATATTTTATCGGTGTCTTCTATTTTCATACCTTATAATCTATATTATATCATATTATATTAGACATTTACATAAAATATTAAAATGATTATTAAAAAAAATAATAGATATGAATCCACTTGAACGTTTTCACGAATTTTAACACATCCCTTTTTTTGTAAATGAATGTTGAACGCTAACATATATTTTCCGATGAACGAGCAACGCTAAATTTGTTTAAAAAAATGTTTACAAACCATCTACAAATTTACCCCTTCAGATATAGTTTAAAAATTTAATATAGGTTTAGTATGGTCATATTAGGAAAAATTATAAATTTAACCCTTTTTTAAACTCCAAACAGGCTAAGAAATTGGACCCATAAAAGTTGATAATTTGGTAAATTTAATTTAATCTAAAATATCTTTGTATATTATTGAGCTAAATACTTAATTTAGATTTTATTATAGAATCAATTAATAGGCACCAAATATGTTCAATAGTGTTAAAATATATTTTTTACATAAAAACAAGTAACTATGAACATAAATAATAAATGGAATCTAATCGTCATTTTTCTTTCTCCCTTTTCAAATATTTTGAATTATAGGTATATAATTAAATAATAATTTTGCAAAATTTCAAGTTGGTACGAATATGAGTTTAGGAATTATTGGAGTTAAAGTATATAATTAAGTCAAAATTCATATAATATTATAGTTAACAGTGGCATATATGGGATGGGAGAAGAGGGGTTAAAAAATAATAACATAATATTTTAAAAATTAAAGGGATAATAAATTAATTTAATAAATAAGTTTTAAAAAAATTCAGAAGGTTTAAATGCCACTTTGACCCTTTATATGCAACTGATAGTTACTAGTTAACTTAACTGAATAGTTATTGAAAAATTCTAGAGTGTGGAGAGGATAGATGGAGGAGGGGGAGGGGGTCAGGAAATATACATTTCTCTAATTAAATCAATTTTTTATTAAAATATGTTTAGATGTTTTATAGAAAATTTAATTTATAC